TCAGCAGGTGATGTTCAGTGTTTCTACGATCACAGGGTCGTGGGCAACTATAATTGGTACAGCAACAGGGGAATAATAGGGAGTGAAGGAAACTGTAGCTGGTTGTATATAATGAGGAAGATGTGGGTGAAGGTTTTCAAAAGATACAAATGTCCAGTTAGAAAATAAATAATTCCTGGGCTTGTAATGTACAGCCTTGTGGCTAGAGTTAGTAACACTATATGACCCAAATGTAAGACTGGAAACCCGAAAACTCCTAGAAGAGAACATAGGTGGAATACTTTGACATAAATCATAGCAATATTTTTTTGGGGATTTGTCTCCTAAAGCAAAGGAAATTTAAAATAAATAAATAAATAAACAAGTGGGGCCTAATTAAACTTAAAAACTTTTGCACAGCAAGGGAAACCATTGACAAAACAAAAAGAAAACCTACTGAATGGAAGAACATATTTGCAAATGATATGACCGTTAAGGGGTTAATATCTAAAATATATAAGCAGCTCATACATCCATTTCAACATCAAAAAAAAGCAAACTGATTAAAAAATGGGCAGAGGACCTGAATATGCATTTTTCCAAAGAAGACATACAGATGGCCAGGAGGCACATGAGAATATGCTCAACATCACTAATTATTAGACAAATACAAATCAAAGCCACAGTGAGATATCACCTCACACAGGTCAGAATGGCCATCATCAAAAAGTCTATAAATAATAAAGGCTAGAGAGGGTGTGGAGAAAAGGGAACCCTTCTATAGTGTTGGTGGGAATGCAAATTGGTGCAGTATGGAGGTTCCTTAAAAAACTAAAAATAGCACTACCATATGACCCAGTAATTCTACCCATGGGTATTTATCCAAAAAAAGAAGACACTCATTAAAAAAGATACACGCATCCCTTTGTTCGTTGCAGCACTATTTACAATAGCCAAGATATGGAAGCAGCCTAAGTGCCCATCAACAGATGAATGGATAAAGAAGGTGTGGTGCATATATACAATGGAATATTACTCAGCCACAAAAAAAGAGTGAAATAATGCCATTTGCAACAATATGGATGGAATTAGAGGGTATTATGCCAAGACAAAGAAAGACAATATGTATGATACCACTTATATGTGGAATCTAAAATATAAGACTCAGGAATTCAGTGGCAGTCTGATGGTTGGGACTTGGTGCTTTCAATGCCAGGGGACCCTCCTTCAATCCCTGGTTGGGGACTAAGACCCCACAAGCCATGTGGTGGAGCCAATAAATAAATAAATAAATAAAATATAAAACTCACCCTCCTCTTGTTTTCCAGAGATAATCTCTAGTCCCCATGCAGACAACATCATTGCTCTTACAGGTGAAATGATAATTGCTACCCATCAAGGCAGTGATTGTGGAATCCAAAACCTTAACCTCAGTATTCAGACATCCACTTTCCACATCTGCACATATGCTATCACTGCAGCTACCATCCTGGCAGCAAATGTAAATTTGGGAAGTGACCACTTTTCCCAGGTAAGTATCACATTCTTGGAAGGATAGATCCTATCTCAGAAAATTAAATAATAAATGCTGTATCGAAAAACAATTCAGATTTTTGGATTTGGAACAGAAATACTGACAAAGAGAGGCAGAAGGGATGTATTCTGAGGGTCCCAGAGGCATGGCCCCACCTCATCCACTTGCTTTAGGGCTACCTAGTACCTCTCCTCCATGTTTCCTCTCATAACCTTGTCTGTACTTTTCTGCCTCTTTTCACTGACTAAACACTGAACCTCATAACATCTGTTATAATAGCTTAATTCCACATGAAGTGAAGAGCAAGACTGTTTTACTTGTAATTTTTTGTGGACATGCAGTGTCTTTTTAGTAATAGTTGGCTGTGCATATTTTAGTCTTTTGGGTGGATGATTTTCAAATGGATCCTTAGGAGAATTTTAGTAACATGTCTGAAGAATGCAAGAGCAAAAACTTCCTGCCCCATTTTGTGAAAGGAAGAATACACCTAAACATGTGAACAAAAGAATGTAAGTTAAAATAGTAAGGTGAGCAGGGATGTAAAGAATGTCTAAATGTTACCATGTATGAAAACATATTTTATATGTGCATAGTATCTTCATTACTATTAATATTATGCTCCCTTCTCTCTAAAAAGATTTCTGGTGACCCTGAATCAATATAGATTTTTAATGTGTCATCTAGAAATCATGAGATGACTTATTCTAACAAACCTTATTATGATCACTCTCACTCCCTAATGGGTATCTTCCTAATCCTTCTTGTGGAAATTGAAATTTTCTCGAGTCCCTTAGAAAATAAAGCACAAATGTCCTAAGGAATCTGTTGTAGCCAATGAATTAATTTATGTTTTATGCATCTCGACTGCAATTTTTTTTATCTCCTAGGGATAATAAGGACAATATTCACTCAGATTCGACCAAATACGCAAAACAACTAATTTCAGGCCTTGAACGGTGGATAGCATAGGGCTGTAACTTTGAGGGCTGTAATGAGAGGTCAGGTGCAGAGAGCCAGTGAATCCTAGCTTTCTCCTCCAGCAGAGGCATCCTCATCACTGGCCTCAGAGGCTAAGTCTCCACTCCTTCCTCCAGAGTTTGATACCCTCTGTAGCATCTGAACAGTGCCAACTCCAATGTCAGGACAACCTCAGAGACCAGTCCAGGACAGAACACAGCCAGAATGATAGGGCTTTTTTGCTGCCTCCTGGACTTCATGGTGGGCTAGAAGGCCAAATGCAGCCCCGGCTTGCATGACCAGATGGATCTGGATCCCAGGTCTTGGGACAGCTTCCTTATGCTCTGGACTTAATACCAGCAATACCTTGTACTGGGATTTGGCCTGGGGGACCTGAAATGCTGAAGAACTGGCCTAGGATGGTGCCAGGTGCCTCAACAGAGTTTCCCATATCCTAGAAGAGGGACCTTGCAGGGAGCAATGCAAGATCAGTTCTGGCCTGGCTCCTGCCCTCCTGTAGCAGCCATGGAACATGCGGACAATGAAATGCAAAATAGGAAATTTGAGGTCTACTAAGTGTGGCAACAAGGAGGCATCAAGTGTGAAATGAGGAAGTAGGCTTAGGATGTCTAAGATATATTGCTAAGTGAGAAAAGGAAAGTACAGATCTGTATACAAAATACGTATGACTTTATTTTTCCTGAGCCAACAACTTTTATAGGAAAATATCTGAACACAGACCCACACAGAATGACACACATAAATGCAGACACAATTCTAAAAGGATAATACTATAGTGCAAACCTCAGCTATTCCATTTACTTTTGCAATCCTCTACTCTGAATGTCCTCTTTAACTCTTCCTCCAACTGGGATTTGGTCAATTTGGTTTTCAAGAATGAAGAAGGATCACAGTTTGGAGACAGACTCTTCAGAGTGACCATTCTTGTCGGGTACTGAGCTTAATTCCATGTCTTCTCAGACATCACTGCTAAAACACCTCGGAGATCTTAACTTTTTTCACCATTCATGGATGTTTCACCAGAACTATTTCTGCTACCATCTTTGAATCACTACTTAATTGTTATTAATAGCTTTCTATAATTTGCATTTTACAGCTGCTTTTCTGAGATAATTTCAATTCCACGTGGAGGTCAGTCCCAGTAATGACTAGAAAAATAATCATTATTTTCCAGCAAAAAGATGAAATCATCTGTTTAAGATATTCCCAATATTTCAGTTGTTAAACAAAAGTCAGCTGAGTAAATTTGAAGATCTAATTGGCTTTATTAGGTGATTCATGTATTGGGTAGCATTCTCTTTAGCAACTAGGATGCTCTAAGGGGCTGCACAAAATGGAAGGTTTTTATAGGCAGAAGTGGAGTGGG